TGCTTATTACCACAAAAATCAGATCAAGTACAAATTTGGGTAGCGTCACTTTTATTGTACTTGAGTTATGTCCCTTTATAATGTTGTATGCAAGCGGGGGCATCATCTGTGTCCATGGGGACACATTCTCCATTTTCTCAAACTATTATACATTAAAAACTAAACTTTATTGTAAATTTATGCTTTGATAATGGCTAAGAAAACTAAAGACTCTAAAGAGCCTGTTTCGCTCACCTAAGTCTATGTTTATCTTCAACATGGGCACTTTCCAACATGGTCGACTAGAATAGAATTCATGACAAAAATCTTTTTTTCATTGATCTTGTATTGCTGATCATTTTATCGGTTTACAGTTTCTCTATCTTCTTTAGTTTGTGACCAAAACACAAAATTTTTTTAAATAATCGGCATTTAAGGCCAATAGCTTCTTTAAATAGTCTACTAAGGCTTTAGGCAAAATTTGATTTATTTGAAGATCTTGTCTTTCTAATAATTTGTATAGTTGAATCAACTACAATCAATGCTTTATACAATGCAATGTTTAATTTTGACTTCCACTGATAAAACACAGATCAAGTTGAATTTGGGTAGGGTCACTTTAACCATTATTGAGTTATGCCCCTTTATAAATCTAAAGATTGCAAAATTTTTAGTTTCCATTCTGTAACTTAAGTTTGCCCCAACCAAACATTATGAAACCTATACACAAAAATATTCATTACCACAAAACTAAGATCAAGTACAAATTTTTTGTTTCCGTTTTCTAACTTTAGTTTGCCTCAACTAAATGTTATGAAACTTATACACAATGCTTATTACCACATAATACAGATTGAGTACGAAATTTGGTGGCGACACTTTTACCATTCTTGAGTTATGTCCCTTTATAAACATGAAAATTGCTGAATTTTTCGTTTCCGTTCTCTAACTTTAGTTTGTCTCAACCAAATGTTATTTATACACAACCGTTCTAGAGTTATGCGTGTTTACAAATAGAAAAATTGCTGAATTTTTAGTTTCTGTTCTCTACTTAAGTTAGCCTCAACCAAATGTTATGAGACTTACACACAATGCTTATTTCCACAAAACTCAGATCATGTTCAAATTTGGGTAGCTTCACTTTTACCGTTCTTCAATTATGTCCCTTTATAACTATATGATATGCAAGCGGGGGCATCATCTGTGTCCACATGTGGACACTATCCACATTTATTTCTATTTTAAAGTGTCTATCTATCTTTCATTGATATCAAGATAATAGGCAAAAATCCAAAATATTGGTAAAAATGGTCATCAAAGAGCAAGAACTCAAATAAGGTGTCGACGAAGGATTTAGGCCATATTGACTTATTGTAGATCTTGTCTTGCTGATAATTTTTGCTATATAAAGTGTATATCTATCTATTATAGTTTTCAAGATATTAAATAAATAAATAACACTAAGAATTGGTAAAAATCATCGTTATGAGCAATAATTCCAATAAGGATTGAACTGATGATTTCAGCCATTTGACAATATTTGTAGATCATATCTTGTGGATCATTTTTGCTTGTTTAAGTTTCTATCTATCTATTATAGTTTTTCAGATAATAGGCAAAAATGCAAAAAGTTGGTAAAAATTGTCATTAAAGGGCAATAAATCCAATAGAGAGTCATCTGACGATTTCAATCATGTTGACTAATTTGTAGATCTTGTTTTGCTGATAAACTTTAGCTCACCTGGCCTAAAGAGCCAGTGTGAGCATTTGCCATCACTTGTGCCTGTCATCTATCATGGTCATCGTCATCCATCATCTGTTAACTTTTACAAAGATCATCTTCTGTAAAACTACTCTGCCAAATTTAACCAGACTTGGCCACAAGCTTCATTGGAGGCATCTAGTTATAGATTAAAAAATTGTCTGATGACCCTGCTTGCCAACCAACATGACTGACATGGGTAAAAATAATAAAACATAGAGGTAAAATGAAAGTTTTGTCTATTATCATGAAAACCACTATAGATAGAGAAAATCTTACAGGGGTAACAATTTTCAGATTAATGAGATATACCTCCTGTTCCTTATCATTAAAACTGTCAGAAGACTTCCTGTAGAAGTTATTGCCCTTAAATGTGAATTGAACCAATTTTTATACGACCGCAAAAAAATTTTTGTGGTCGTATATTGGTATGACGTTGGCGTCGTCGTCGTCGTCCGGCGTCGTCCGAAGACACATTGGTTTTCGCACTCTAACTTTAGTTTAAGTGAATGGATCTCTATGAAATTTTACCATAAGGTTCAATACCACAAAAGGAATGTTGGGATTGATTTTGGGGGTTATGGTACCAACAGTAAAGGAATTAGGGGCCAAAAGGGGCCAAAAATAAGCATTTTTGTAACTTCCAGACAAAACTTGTGTGTTAGTGTATGGATCTCTCTGACATTGTACCACAAGGTTCCATATCACAAAAGGAATGCTGGGATTGATTTTGGGGGTAATTGCCTCAAAATTTTAGGAATTAGGGGCCAAAAAAGGGGCAAAAAACAAGCATTTTTCTAGTTTCATGATAATAACTTGTGTGTAAGTGTATGGATCTTTCTGAAATTGTACTACAAGGTTCCATATCACAAAGGGAAAGCTGGAATTGAGTTTTGGGGTAATTGCAATAAACGTTTAGGAATTTGGGGCCAAAAAGGGGCCAAAAAACACATTTTTTTTAGTTTCCAGACAATAACTTGTGTTCAAGTGTATGGATCTCTATGAAATTGTACTGCAAGGTACCGTACCACAAAGGGAAGGCTGGGATTGAGTTTGGGGTGATGAATCATAAGGGGGTTCAAAAAATTTGGGGGGGGATTTTTTTTTATTTTTTTCCTTTTTTTTTTCTTTTAAAATTTTCCATTTTAAGTTGGTTATTTCTGATTTATATTTAAAAGCAAATAATAATGATATGGTAGGAGATACACACCAAACAGGATGTGTAAATTTTTATATAATAAGTATTGTGCAATAGCAAGAAATTTTCAATTGCACAGTATTGCACAATAGCAAGAAATCTTCAATTGCACAGTATTGAGCAATAGCAAGAAATCTTCAATTGCACAGTATTGCGCAATAGCAAGAAATATCCAATAGCACAATATTGCGCAATAGCAAGAAATTGTCAATTGTACAGTATTGCGCAATAGCAGGAAATATTCAATTGCACAGTATTGTGCAAAAGAAGATACTTCGTATAAATTGCTTATTTCTTGACCAATTTCAATGGGGTTTTATTCTTGAATTCTTGGGGTTCTTTAATATGCTGAATCTAACCGTGTATTAAGTTTTTGGATTTTGGGCGCCGTTTTTAAATTGGTCCACATTGAGGTCCAAAGGGTCCAAAATTAAACTTTGTTTGATTTCATCAAAAATTAAATTATTGGGGTTCTTTGATATGCCGAATCTAACCGTGTATTTAGATTCTTAATTTTTGGTTCCGTTTTCAAATTGGTCTACATTAAGGTCCAAAGGGTCCAAAATTAAACTTAGTTTGATTTTAACAAAAATTGAATTCTTGGGGTTCTTTGATATGCTGAATCTAAACATGTATTTAGATTTTTGATAATGGGCCCAGTTTGCAAGTTGGTCCAAATCGGGGTCCAAAATTAAACTTTGTTTGATTTCAACAAAAATTGAATATATGGGGTTCTTTGATATGCTGAATCTAACCATGTATTTAGATTTTTGATTTTTGGGCCCCGTTATCAACTTTGTCCACATTGAGGTCAAAAGGGTCCAATATTAAACTTTGTTTGATTTCATCAAAAATTGAATTCTTGTGGTTCTTTGATATGCTGAATCTAACCATGTATTTAGATTTTGGATATTGGACCATAATAGGTGAATGTCCAATTTAAAATTTTTAAGTTCTTAGACCACATTCATTCTGTGTCAGAAACCTATGCTGTGTCAAATATTTAATCACAATCCAAATGCAAAGCTGTATCAAGCTTGAATGTTGTGTCCATACTTGCCCCAACTGTTCAGGGTTCGACCTCTGCGGTCGTATCAAGCTGCGCCCTGCGGAGCATTTTATTTTCATTGTTGCATATTATCTTGAAAATTATAATAGAATACTCTAATGTGCCACTATCACATAATCTCTGGTAATAATTTATTAAGCCATGCTAATTATTAAAGGAAGAACCAGGAATAAATAAATGTATTACATATACAAATTGTTTTACTAGACACATATTTTTTTATCATTTTGACACGGAATTAAACTTTGGTAGGCCATGTTTGTTTAAAAACTTTGTGGAATTTAGATATCACATGGATATTTGTATTAAGATGCTGTCAAGATGTTGAAAATTGATAGTCAGATTAAAAAATCTGTTTTTATCACTTATCCAGAATGTTTTGTTGATATTAATGAATGTAGGCATATTTCTATTAGATAAACATAATATATTTTTTTCATTTTTAGCAAAGTTTTCCTTTTGATAAAGGATGAAAGGTGGGACTTGCGAAAAATAATAATCAATGCATTTTATTTAAAGAATTTAGACATTAAATTTATTGAAATAATACCTTGAGTACCAAAATTAGGCAAACTGATTATTTGCTCATATTATTTTTAAAGGGGTACCCAACACTTTGACTAAATTTGGCTTGTTTAAATTTCATAAAATTTTGACAAATATTTACTTTGACCTGTTGATAAAAATATAAAATTTCAAGAAATTTGAACACAAAATGTACAGGAATAATCTCGGTGGATAAATAGTAGTTTGACAAACACTTATTTTGATTATTCAGAAGTTTGAATTCTCTTTTCTAAAAGACAAATGATGTTTGAATTTTATCTTAAAATTATTAATATTAATGAAAGAAAATAAAGGATTTTTTAAAATTTAGATGCAAAGACATTTTAAACAGTCCTATGTAATCTGTATGAATATTTTATAAGGCTTGAAACTTTTTTTTTCTTTAAATGCTTAGAGTAAAGTGTTAATTTGGTTGTGTATTTCAGATATCTGGACTACCTACAGATTCCACTGAAGACAATCCATTTGGATATTCTCCTCTACAGGAAGAAAGAGAATTTAATTCTCCTATGTTAGATGTGGATCATGTTGAGTTTAAACCAAGAAAATAATCATTCCAGAAGATCAGTTTTATTTGAGAAGCTCTGTGGTCATATACAACAGTAAATTAATTGTGTTTGTACAACTTGATAAGTTTAACATTATTCCCACCAGACATTATATCACACCATTTGTAAATTGTTTAACATCTCACCAACATACAATCAATTTTTTTTGTGATTATATTTTTCTTACTTTACTTTAGTATGTTTCTTTTCAAAATTTGGAGAACAAATAATTGTGACAGATTTCTATATTTGATGTGAACATCCCAAAATTATTTATAATTAAAAAAAACAACATTCCTGAATGCTAGTCTCTAGACAGGTAAAATCTCCCACAGTTGATAAATATCCCAAGTTAATTCTGTTAGTTGTTGCATATTATACAAAAAATTACATATTGGTGTCAAAATGCTATTTATTTAAGCATAGCATTAACTTAATATAAAATAAGGAGATGTGGTATGATATCCAATGCCAACTATTCACCATAGATCAAATGATGTAGATATATTTCTCTTATGATTGTGGCCGGTTATCTATTTCTTGCATGAAGAGATAAAGTCTTGTATCACAATTCACGGAGTGTGATATGAAACTATGTTAATTTTGAATGGCTTATCCAGCATCAGGAGACAATATTACGATATTTCCATTGGATATTCTTTCATTCATTGTTAACTTTCTAAGGTTAAGGCGATGTAAATTTCATCCATGGCAACGAATATATTTGATTTCTTCAATATTATACAAAGCTTGCACACTTTTCTCCTGGAAATCTTCTTTTTATAAAATTTTATTACATTCTGAAGAGTACAAAAACATTTAAAATGTCTGATGTTAAAGTTTGATGCAGGAAATGGATATATGATGTCATACTGGAATGTGCAAAAGAACAGATCAATGATTCACGGAATATTTTATTTAATACAAAGAGAGTGTTGATCATGAGAGAAATAGGTTTTACAATTAGTGAGAATTTGATATAGCTTGATATCAACTCTCGTTATTTAATTTAAATAGTAATAATAAACTCGCCAAAGACTGTTTTTTTATAATATTGAAATTAAATAACACAAGTTGACATCAAGCGATATACAATTCTCACTCGTTATGAAACCTATAATTATCTCATTAAATTCAATAAAAATATCTGCTTTAATATGATTATCATATTTTAGACTTCTCATATAGGTTGGATAGTTGTCTATTGGCAATCGTACCACATCGTATTTTATACTGATATTCTTAAAGGGGCTATGTTTATAATTGTAATATCTGTTTGTAAGTCAGTTCAATTCCTATGATGCTGTTTTTTGTGAAGCCATGGTTGTGGGCATTCTACTTTATTACTGCAATGCTTGTTCTCCCTTTGATGATATTTTTTTTTACATTTTTGTGCATTTATTAGTTGTCAGGAAAAAGTACTTTTGTTGAGAAGACTTTTTTTGTGTAATAACTTTACTATATCTGTGTTATATTTATTTGAATCTCATGTGGTAAGTGAACATAATTATAAAATAATCATTTTTTCCAGAGCTTTATACAATGTATTTTTTTTATCAAAACTGATAATTGTTAAGGGAAGCTCTGATATTATCAAATGATGAAGAATACCCTTTATAAGCATTTTTTTATTGAAATAATATACTGGTAAAGAAAAATGTGCAAATTTAGAATAAGAAAAAAGAAACATATTTGAGGGCAACAAATTGTCCAAAATAAACTGAAGGACAAATACTAGTAGTCTACTTTATTCCAATGATATTGTCATGAAGACCAATATTTAAATCTGCTACTTTTTAGACCATGACTCATTTGCTTATATTTTAATGGCCTTGTAGAAAGGTATCATCAGCATTAAAATAAATCATTGTCTATGCAATCATTTATACTTCTGTATGTATCCAAAGTTATTTTTATACAACCGCAAACATTTATTTGGGATTGTATAATGGTATAATGTCGTCGTCGTCTGCGTCGTTGTCCGAAGACACATTTGGTTTCCAGACAATAACTTTAGTTTAAGTGAATGGATCTCTATGAAATATTTTAAGAAGGTTCAATACCACAAAAGGAAGGTTGGGATTCATTTTGGGGATGATGGTCCCAACCGTTTAGGAATTAGGGGCCCAAAACAAGCATTTTTCTAGTTTCAGGATAATAACTTGTGTATAAGTATTTTGATTGCTCTGAAATTGTACCACAATGTTTAATACCACAAGTAGAAGGTTGGGAATTCATTTTGGGGGTTATGGTGCCAACAGTTTAGGAATTAAGGGCCAAAAAGGGGCCAAAAACAAGCCTTTTTGTAGTTTCCAGACAATAACTTGTGTGTGAGTGTATGGATATCTCTGACATGTACCACAAGGTTCCATAACACAAAGGGAAGTCTGGGAATGAGTTTGGGGGTAATTGCCCCAAACATGCAGGAAAAAGGGGCCAAAAAAGGGCCAAAAACAAGCATTTTTCTAGTTTCAAGGCAATAACTTGTGTTAAAGTAAATGGATCTCACTAAAATTGTACTACAAGGTTCCATACTACAAAAGAAAGGCTTGGATTGAGTTTTGGGGTAATTGCTCCAAGGAGGGATTCAAAAATATTTTTTCCAATTTTTTAAGGGGTTCATATTTTTTTTTCAAAATTTTTCAAATTTATAAAATTTTTGAAAAGTTTCAAGAAGAAAGAAGAAACCTTCAGTTGCACAGTATTGTGCAATAGATTTGTAAGATCTTTGACCACATTTATTTTGTGTCAGAAAGCTATATTATGTCAAAAATTTGATCACAACCCAAATTCAGACAGTATCAAGCTTAAATATTGTGTCCAAATTTGCCCCAACTGTTCAGGGTTGGACCTCTGCGGTCGTATCAGGCTGCGCTCAGCGAAGCATTTTATTGACAAAATTATTTGGAATTTAGAACTTTTCTGAGAAACTACTTAACACAGATTTGATATGAATTTGACATTTTTCATGTCTTTTTAAGCTGTTGAAAATCAGAAAATAAACAAGTATGAGGTTTCTACACAAAAGAATTGAGCATGTTTCATTTGTTTATTTTAAATTTTTAAAAAGTATTAGTCTGATTTTGACACTTTTCACATTTGTTTTTCCAGAATTTTGTCCCTACATTGGTATTTGTAAATCAAAACATCATTTGAAATCTGCAAAAGAAATTGAATCCAGCATATTATGTAAATTTCCTCCTACCATAGACAAGAAATGTTACTTTATGATATACAAGTTCAGTTTACTGAGAAATGTAATAGTTTTCCTATATACAAACTGGTTCTGCTTCTGTGTCACATTATTTTGTTTCTTTAGATTTGTTCAGGGTGAGAAACATTCCATCCATTTGTTAACGGTTGGGGACCATAATTTATAGTTATGATTTAATTTTCACTCATGTTTTAAGTTTATTTACATGGAATATTATTATCAACATTAATATAATACAGAAAATAAGTTGGCTAATGTATGTGTTACACAGGGATCAAATATCATATGTCTGACTTGTTGTGAAATTTTTTTTGGAGGAGGTAGTAGAGGAGTTGCAATGTTCTGTATAAAACAACATCCAATGTATGAATTATCTTTAATTATCATCCATTTTGTAAATGATGAATCAAGTTTACAAGTTATTGTTTATAAACATATCAGATGATTAAATTCAGTCCATTTGATGCCTCTAAGTGATATTCATTATTAAATTTAATCCTGTATTATGGAATATGTAACCCAAAATATATCTTTAACACATAGAATAACACATAACTTATTTTTGACAATTCGTATCTTATAACAATTTAACACTGATATTTAAACATGTAATTTTTTTATTTTATCATGATAAAAAAAATATTCTTAAATTGTCAAATTATGATTAAAAGAAAAATGGTCTTGTGAATATAGTTATGAAGTTAAGGGAAAGCATTATGTAAAATTATAAACAGATATTTGACACTGCTTGCATCCAGTCAAGTTTCAATCTGTTTATATTTGTAATGACATAAAAGACAACTTAATGTTGTAAATTTCCATTTTTGACATTTATTTTAATGGCTGGGATGTTCATTGAAGCCATATTGTTTAAATTGTATTTTGATCATGAACTCTTAATAGATATACAGGATGGAACTGCCCACTAAAATATGTATAATAAATAAAAACTGCATTCTATTGACCCTCGGGTTGCACATATTTTATCTGTCCAAGGACAATATTTTAAAAAAAATAAAAAATTCTTTAACTTTTTAATTAATGTCTTACAAGAAATATAGGCATAAGATCACTAACAATGTTACTTTTCATATCTTTATATTTCCAAGTAGAATAACTTCTGTAAAAAAGTTGGTAGACTCTTCCAAGACCTTACTGATATAAGCCTTTGACATAAACTTCATAAAAATTTGACAAGAAATGAAGGTGTGAGAGTCACTTTATAAATTACATTTTAAAGAGATACAACTCCTGTAAAACAGTAGACCAGCACTGATTTTCGAACTCACCCAAGACATTGCTGACATAAATATCATAACATTACTACAAAAAATGTAGGTATGAAAGTGCTGACAATGCAATTTTCTATAGAATTTACATTTTTAACCGGATTTTTGTGTCAAAAATGTCGGTTATTGATTTGGGGATGTACGGCGGTCGGTCGGTTGGTCGGGCGGGCGGGCGGCAACCAAATGTTGTCCGTGCATTTACTCATGAACCATTCAACCAAACCTTTTAAAATTTTAATATGTTGTTACTGACAACAAAATGGAGGTCAAGTTTAATAATGACGATTTTGACTTTTACCGTTCAGGAGTTACGGTTCTTGAAAGTTTAAAAAATGTTGTGTCCGTGCATTTACTCATGAACTGTTCAACCAAACCTTTTTAAATTTTAATATGTTGTTACTGACAACAAAATGGAGGTCAAGTTCAATAATGACGATTTTGACTTTTACCGTTCAGGAGTTACGGTTCTTGAAAGTTTAAAAAATGTGGTGTCCGTGCATTTACTCATGAACTGTTCAACCAAACCTTTTTAAATTTTAATATGTTGTTACTGACAACAAAATGGAGGTCAAGTTCAATAATCACGATTTTGACTTGTACCATTCAGGAGTTACGGTTCTTGAAAGTTTAAAAATTGTCGTGTCCGTTCATTTACTCATGAACCGTTCAACCAAACCTTTCTCATAAACGTATCTCTTCCTTGTTTGACTTCATGATTTCTGCCTACCCACCCCTGCTGAACAAATGTGTGTGTACTTATATGCTATCTAATATTTCAAAATGATGTCACTTATGATAACTAGATGGTCAAACAGGTCAAGCTTGATTTTTGCCTTTCCATTTGAAAACCATACAATTCATTCATTTTTTTTTTAGATATTTTCAAAATCCTAGGTAGATGGACTTAGTAATTTTTTTTTACTTTATGCATTAAGGGCACACAGTTTGTCCTGCTAGAGGGTAATTTTCTATCTAGTTTATATGTTGTTATTGTTGACAACATGGAAGTCAAGTTTGATATTGATGATCATAAATTTTACCTATTAGGAGTTTTGGTCCTTGTGATATTGATTAATGCCAGAACACAAATAAATGTTAAAGAATCCGGTTTACTGTCATTTTGACAGCTCTTGTTAAGGGATATAATGCCTGTAAAAATAATTGATTGGCGCTGATTTTTGAAACAGTCTCGGACATGGGTGATATAAACCTTTAATATAAATTTTATAACAATTCTACAAGAAATGTAGGCTTGAGAATGGTTACAATGCAATTTTCCAATGGGCATAACTCTTTTTTAAAAAGTTGTTTGGCACTGATTTTTAACTTGTCCAATACATCGATGATATGGAAGAAAATCAAAAACCTTGCTAGCATTACAAAATGTCAGTTTGAGGTCCTAAAAAATGTTAAACACACATGCACACACTCATTGTCTTATTACAAATATCTTCCCAAAATCACAAAAGAAAAGAAAGTAATCATTGCAACCTCTACCCATTTAGCTGATAGTTGCTTACATCATTTCTATTATCCAAAAATACATGCAATGTAGAAAGCTTTAACAAATATTTTATGAAATCAAAAGTTGTCTTTCAACATGATATAACTTGCTCATTATTCATCACATACTTCTTACATTACTTTGCAACATAGTAAACTGAATTTAAAAACTATGGATTTATTCATTTTTGTAGATACCTATTTTTGTGGATTGAGGAAAAATTTATATTCAAAGTTATATGATTTTGTGATTTTGCATATATGCAAAAAGAAATTTTGTACATAATTGAACATTTAAATTCAGTTTTTATGCATACCCATTAAATCCATGAAGATCGGTATCCAATGAATTATAATGAACCCACAATACCTGATTATGTTAGAGAGCAGAAAATGCTTGCTTTGTATAAAATATATGCCATAGGTATAACACTTCTACTTGTTCAGTCTATTTTCTAAACATACCTCATTTTATAGACATACTTTTATTTATAATGTCAATTTCTAGACGGGTTAATTAATACATTTTTGTTCTTTTATTTTTGCCATTTGATATTTACAATGACTGTAAAGTGAAAGTGACTTTTTATGAAGCCTATATGACTTGTTTTTTTTTTTTATCTTTCCACCAGAAAGTTGTGGAGACAAGACTTAGGCATGCTGTTTCTGGAGTCAACAATGTATTTGTTTATGATTAGGTTAGTTTAAGGGATCCATAAGTCAATGATATTTGGTATGCAGTTGTATAAGCGTTGGAACATTTCATAAATATAGAGATTATTCAGCCACATACACTCAGGCATGGTCTGTTGACTCTTAAACTTTTGCAAAGTTGACTTGTAAAAGTTTGTGATTAGGTCAGTTTGAGATGAACCACTAATGGCAAGTCAATGATATTAGTTTTTGGTATGCAGTTGTATTAACATTTGCACATCTAATTTCCATGGAAACTATATGACCTGGACCCCTCAGTCATGATTCCGTAGAAACTTCTGCATAGTCTACAAGTTAAAGTTTTGACATTTTAATTTCACAACATTTGCATTATAATATCAAAATTACATACAGGCAAGACATAACTCTGTGTCAACAGTTTATGCTTTGTTGGGTTGCTGTGTCATTGATGTAAACTGACATTTTCTTCGTCAAGAAGAAATAGATGATTTTTTTATATTAAATATAGTATTGCATGACAAAGTGTTTAAAACTAACTTATTTCTCTAACTTTTTCACTATTTTAACATTTCCCAACCGATTGTGAAAAATTTGTTCTCCTCATTGGTGAAAAACTGTTCTCGGCAAATGATTGGTCGAAATTTAATTATGGCGTAAAATTTTCTTGGTTTCTCCTGAATTTCCTATTGTGACGTCAAGAAAAAAGGCTACCATGCTGGATGACGTCACATATAAAGAACACAACTTTCTGCAAATCTTTGAAAAGGAAGAATAGAAATCAATAAAGAATATTTCTCCACTCTCAACAGTTATAAATTTTAGTTATTTAAGCCTCGCGGTTTAAATATTAAAGTTTAACTGTCTCAAGTAGAGAAATATTGTAACACATTTGTTGCAGTGGTTGAATCTATATTTCTTTCCTATTGTTGCAGTATAACATGTATGTGTTAATATTAACGAAGTAACATTTTTAGGAGTTTTGTTGAAATTATTTTGTATTTTCTAATGGAACAACATCCTGATATTTTATCTTATAAAATCTTTAGATAAAACATTTAGAATGTCAGCAAATTAATCAACAATGGCATCCTTGATTTACTGTCAAACCCTAATGCTAATAATATAGTAATTGAAAAAAAATAATTTCGATCTTCATTCAATTTAAGCAACAACATTCAATAACTGTATAATATTACATCTAGCTATTTGCCCAGACAGAATTAGTTTTACATTTAACAGTTTCAACCAATGTTTTTGAGCTACTCTGACATCCACAGCATACTATATACAGTGAAACCTGTATATTGCAGTCACCCTTGGGACAAGAGAAAAGGTCTTAAAAGAGAGGTCACCTTTGAATTAAGATTTAAAATGAATATGTATTACTACGGTGGGACAAGTTAAGGCTGACCTCAAAATACAGGTTTTTATACGACTGCCAAAAAATGTTTGTGGTCGTATATTGGTATGACGTTGGCGTCGTCGTCGTCGTCCGAAGACGCATTAGTTTTCGCACTCTTACTTTAGTTTAAGTGAATGGATCTCTATGAAATTTTACCATAAGGTTCAATACCACAAAAGGAAGGTGGGGATTGATTTTGGGGGTTATGGTACCAACAGTTAAGGAATTAGGGGCCAAAAATAAGCATTTTCTAGTTTCCAGACAAGAACTGTGGAACGGTGTATGGATCTCTCTGAAATTATACTACAAGTTTCCATACCACAAAGGGATGGTTAGGATTTGCTTTGGGGGGTTATTGCTCAAACCGTTTAAGAATTAGGGGCAAAAAAAGGGGAAAAACAAGGTTGTCCTCATTAATGGACAAATACTTTAGTACAAAACATAATTTAAAGCAGTGTAAGGGAGATAAATCAAATACATCATTGAAATTATCTCCCTTACACTGCTTTTAAATTATGTATAAAGTAATGGTTAATGAACAATTAAGATAATTTAAAACAGTGTAAGGGAGGTAATCCAAATACAACGTTTTGGTTACTTCCCTTACACTGCTTTTAAATTATGTTTAAAGAAATGCATATTTATAAAGGAAGACCAGTATGGCGCATTAGATTTTTAAAATCTTTGACCACATTTATTTATTTGTTATGCCGAATCTAACCGTGTATTTAGATTTTTAATTTTGGGTCCAGTTTTCAAATTGGTCTACTTTAAGGTCCAAAGGGTCCAAAATTAATCTTTGTTTGATTTTAACAAAAATTGAATATATGGGGTTCTTTGATATGCTGAATCTAAGCATGTATTTAGATTTTTGATTTTTGGCCCAGTTTTCAAGTTGGTCCAAATTGGGGTCCAAAATTAAACTTTGTTTGATTTCAACAAAAATTGACTATATGGGGTTCTTTGATATGCTGAATCTAACCATGTATTTAGATTTTTTATTTGTGGACCCCACTATCAAATTGGTTCATATTGAGGTCAAAAGGGTCCAAAATTAAACTTTGTTTGATTTCATCAAAAATTGAATTATTGGGGTTCTTTGATATGCCAAATCTAACCGTGTATTTAGATTTTTAATTTTGGGTCCCGTTTTTTAAATTGGTCTACATTAAGGTCCAAAGGGTCCAAAATTAAACTTAGTTTGATTTTAACAAAAATTGAATTCTTGGGGTTCTTTGATATGCTGAATCTAAACATGTGTTAAGATTTTTGATTATGGGCCCAGTTTTCAAGTTGGTCCAAGTTGGGGTCCAAAATTAAACTTTGTTTGATTTCAACAAAAATTGAATATATGGGGTTCTTTGATATGCTGAATCTAAACATGTAATTAGATTTTAGATTTTTGGCCCAGTTTTCAAGTTGGTCCAAATTGGGGTCCAAAATTAAACTTTGTTTGATTTCAACAAAAATTGAATATATGGGGTTCTTTGATATGCTGAATCTTACCATGTATTTAGATTTTTTATTTGTGGGCCCGCTATCAAATTGGTTCATATTGAGGTCAAAAGGGTCCAAAATTAAACTTTGTTTGGTTTCATCAAAAATTGAATTATTGTGGTTCTTTGATATGCCAAATCTAACCGTGTTTTTAGATTTTTGTCGAGCCTTCGACTTTTGTCGAAAAAGCGAGACATAGCGATCCTACATTCCGTCGGCGTCGGCGGCGTCGTCGTCGTCGGCGGCGTCCACAAATATTCACTCTGTGGTTAAAGTTTTTGAAATTTTAATAACTTTCTTAAACTAACCTGGATTTCTACCAAACTTGGACAGAAGCTTGTTTATGATCATAAGATAATATTCAAAAGTAAATTTTGTAAAAAAAAAATTCCATTTTTTCCGTATTTTACTTATAAATGGACTTAGTTTTTCTGCCAAGAAACATTACATTCACTCTGTGGTTAAAGTTTTTGAAATTTTAATAACTTTCTTAAACTATCCTGGATTTCTACCAAACTTGGAAAGAAGCTTGTTTATGATCATAAGATAGTATCCAGAAGTAAATTTTGTAAAAAAAAAAATCCATTTTTTCCCATATTTTACTTATAATTGGACTTAGTTTTTCTGCCAGTTAACATTACATTCACTCTGTGGTTAAAGTTTTTAAAATTTTAACAACTTTCTTAAACTATCCTGGATTTGTACCAAACTTGGACAGAAGCTTGTTTATGATTAAAAGCTAGTATCTAGAAGAAAATTTTGTTAAAATTTTGTTCGATTTTTTCCGTATTTTTCTTATAAATGGACTTTGTTTTTCTTCCAGTTAACATTACATACAGTCTGCAGTTTAAGTTTTTAAAACATTTATTAGATTCATAAACTATCCTGGATTTTTACCAAACTTGGACAGAAGCTACTTACAATCAAAAGATAGTATAGAGAGGAATATTTTTATTAATTTTTTTCCTCATTTTTGTTGAGCCTGCGATTAACAGCAAAAGTAGGCGAGACACTGGGTTCCGCGGAACCCTTACGAATTTTTAATTTTGGGTCCCGTTTTTTAAATTGGTCTACATTAAGGTCCAAAGGGTCCAAAATTAAACTTAGTTTGATTTTAACAAAAATTGAATTCTTGGGGTACTTTGATCTGCTGAATCTAAACATGTGTTTAGAATTTTTGATTATGGGACCAGTTTTCAAGTTTGTCCAAGTTGGGATCCAAAATTAAACTTTGTTTGATTTCAACAAAAATTGAATATATGGGGTTCTTTGATATGCTGAATCTCTAACTATGTATTTTGATTTTGGACATTGGACCATAATAGGTAAATTAAAAAAATTGAAGTTCTCAGACCACTTTCTCTCTGTGTCAGAAACCTATGCTGTGTCAAATATTTAATCACAATCCAAATTCAGAGCTGTATCAAGCTTGAATGTTGTGTCCATACTTGCCCCAACTGTTCAGGGTTCGACCTCTGCGGTCGTATCAAGCTGCGCCCAGCGAAGCATTTTATTGCTTAATAGAGTTGAACTTTATAGCAGGTTTGACTATATGTTTTCTACTGTCAATATATATACTGGTTAGTGAATGCAAATAAATGATCTTCAATGAATTGTAGGTAATTTAAAGAATACTCATTCACAGAATTTATTGCTTATATTTTTCAAATACCGGCTTTATATTTTCCATATTAAATATGTAAAGAATCTGATATTTGTTTCTTTGTTAATAAAGGAGGAATAAATTGCATAGAGCTTTAAATTTGGCTAATTGTCAAGGGTTGTGAAATTATGATCTCTTTTACAGTACAAATTCTTTGTCTAATATCATTAACATTGCAATGAGGAGTACTTGTTACTCTATGGTGATACCAATATTCCAAAGCAAATTTATTCTAGTGAAAAAGACAGTTTAATACTGATAACGAAAATTTTGTTCAGAGTAAAAAAATCGCAGCAAAATTAATTTAAATAATAAACAACTATTCTTTTCTTTGGAATCAGGAAAATAATGGCTAAAAGTTTGTCTATGACTGTAATCCTGAAGAAACATTGATTTTTTTTCATTGATATTTAGGGTTTGGCTAGTTTTGATATGTGGAATCATTGACCTCAAAATAATTTGTTTAAGGGTAGAAGCATGATACGATTATTCTTTTTTACATATATTAAAACATCCCTGTATTGTTACATTGTTTTAAAAATCTCTCAATTAACACATATTTAATGTTGTTTCAGTATGATTTAGCAGAAAATCATGTTGTATATTCTTATTGTTTTGTATAGATTTTGTTTATTTCATTACACAATGTTTACACCTTTTTTTCTGAAAGAGAATTTTGTTAACTTTCTCAGATCTGTACAATAAATATTACATGGATTTCTTGTATGACTAAATGTTCCTGATTTTAAAAAGACTAATGATCATATTGAATGATCTGCTTGATGCATTACTTTTGCCTCATGCCGTTTAGCAGAGTATGAGATATACAAAAAATTGATATCTGTCTGTTGAACTAAGTACTCTCTTCAATTTTTTATTAAATTGATGCCAAAGGTTTCTGCCAGTGATATTTTGGACAAATCTTTGGATGGGAGTAATGGCCCTTTGAAATGTAAATATAATGTAAATTGTACTTTGTAAGTACTGTCATGCCAACATTCTTATTTGTTCATTGAAATGTATGTCCAAGGATAACATCAGCAATATCATGGAGAAGTTTGAAAATTAGCACTGATCAAATATTTTGGGTTGAATTATGCCCCTCGTAAATGTAAATAATATGGAAAATCAACATTGTGAGTATTCTCCTCCCTGCATTTCTAATTCAATGTTTTTATGCCCCTATCGCAGTGGAGACAGCATAAAGTGTTACCCACATCCATCTGTACATCTGTACGTAAATATATTCCAAAATTAGTTTCCTTTCTCCAACTTTAGTTTGCCTCAACTAAATGTTACGAAACTTATACACCATGCTTATTACCACAAAACACAGATCAAGTTTGAATTTGGGTGGCGTCACATTTACTGTTCTAGAGTTATGCTCCTTTACAAATGAAAAACTTGCTGAATTTTTCTTTTCCATTCGCCTCAACCAAATGATTGAAACTTATAACACAATGCTTATTACCACAAAACTCAGATCAAGTTCGAATTTGGGTGGCGTCACTTTTACTGTTCTTGAGTTATGTCCATTTATAATGTTATATGCAAGGAGGGGCATCATCTGTGTCCCATGGACACATTCTCCATTTTTTCGTCGCAGTATGCAAGACATAGGTATTATAATCCGCCAGCGGCGACGCCATAAACTATTTGTTTAAAACTTTATATTTCAGAATGTAGAAGACCTGGATGCTTCATACCATGTATGCAGCTACCTTATGTTACGAATTTTCTGTCTGTCATATGTCCATTGTCCTTGACCTCATTTTTATGGTTCAGTGACTGCTTGAAAAAAAATTACCATTTTTAGGCAGTTAAGCTGCCTTGTGCGAGCACCCTAGATTTGTGTTCTACCAAATAAATGCAGAAATACGTGCCATTGTTATTATCTAGCTGGCTATTATGTTATTTATAACTAATTGGACATTTTTTTAATACTTTTATTTCTGGAATACCAAAAATATGACCAGAAAAACCTTAAATGATCGTCGAATTACCCAAAACTTTTGAAGTTGCACATTGGAAGTAGTGCTCAATAGAAATCCGTACGTAGTTTATTATCCCCTGTGCTTTTGGCTACGATGTCAAAGAACAATTGTATGAAATATTTCATCGCCGAAAATCGGTAATTACAAGTCGTTTATATTTCCCAAATGGCAAAATGCGCATGAATATTGTTCATGTACAACAAATCTCTATGATAGAGGAAATAAAGTTATATAAGTGGGCGGTAATTTTTCAAACTTATCTTGCCAAATAAGGTTGTTGTTATTTTATGAATGAAACGAGAAACAGATGCAGAAATCGACGTTGATGGGATGTTTTAAGTAATGTGGACAATTAGTCCCCGAGACAAGTCGGACCGAATCCACTCAAACCTTCTAAGAAGACAACTTTGACCGTTTGTCAGATTTACTTAGGGTTTCATAAAATATTATACTAACATTTCTAGCGGAGCCATTACTCTTTTGTTTGTGCATTGGGGTCTATTTAGGGGTATTTGGAGGGGCCTGAAGAATGGGAGGGGTTTACTATAGAACCCTATGGGATTTTATTTTTTTAAATTTTCAAATGACTATTTCTCGAAAACAGTAAGTGATAGACACATGCAGTCTTCAGTAATGAGAACAGGACAATAAAAAAAATCAACCAAATTATATGGTGAGTCCCTGGGGGTCATCCCACCCCCCTTTAATTTGAAAATGTACTTTTATCTTGTAAACTGTCGCGATCCCCACCCCTAAACCATATATATTCATGTATGGGACAATATAACAAATCAAATGAAATATTTGGGGAGTCCCTGGGGTCACCCCACCCCCTCCTGTTTGAGAACTTGGAAAAAGTCGAGATCCCCACCCCTTAACCATATGTATTCATGTATGGGACAATATAACAAATCAAATGAAATATAGGGGGAGTCCCTGGGTTCACCCCACCCCCTCCTGTTTGAGAACTTGTAAACAGTCGAGATACCCACACCTAAACTATATTTATTCCTGTTCATCATTTCAAAAAGATTTGTATGACATACAGGGTCAATCTCCTAGGTGTCACATATGCATATCACTTTACTAGACCAAACCAATATGAACTGGACTTTGCCCAATGTCAGGAGACCATGGGAATGACGAATTATGGGGGCTTTGTTTGGGAGACTTCATAACGGCATCCTGTTACAATTATTTCTTGTCTATTATAAAATTTATTGATGCAAAAAATGAGTCTAGGTTAATTGAATTTACTTTAATTATTTATTAAATCATTTCTGGGCCTATAATAATTTTCATTTATGGCTCATTTTAAGGAAAACATATAAATCTTTCAAGCAGTGTAAAGCCCGAGACTGTTTGACCAACTGTTTTATAATCACCTATCATTTTATTCCAAACTTGGTATGGAGTAACATCATGCACTTGGGGGTGAAGATGGGGTCATTTACATTGATATATGAGTTGCTTTTGAAAACCTTGATGAAATATTAATTAATTTGCCTTAATAATCAATTCATTTAATGAACATAAATGTACAATATACGAATGTTTAATGTTTGTTCTTTCAAATCTTAAAAAAAAATTGAAGCAACACTGCCACAGTTTTCATAATTACGTTTGCCTTGGTTTTTGGTTAACTGCCTACAGCGCTTACATACTTTGATTATTTATGCCTCCGCCTTAGCAGAGGGGGCATTAAGTTTTACCCATGTCCGTCTGTCCGTACGTGCGTACGTCCATACGTCCCGAAATTGGTTTCCGTTCTATAACTTTAGTTTGCCTCAACCAAATGTTATGAAACTTATACACAATGCTTATTACCACAAAAAATGAGATCAAGTACGAATTTGGGTACTTTCACTTTTACTATTCTTGAGTTAATGTCCCTTTATAACATTATATGCAAGTGGGGGCATCATCTGTGTCCCATGGACACATTCCCCATTTATTTTATTAAATGAAATACTCACTTATTATTAGTGAAAGGATAGCTTAATTTGGTATATGGGTTCCTACGTATACATGTCGGTCAGACAAGGTTCATCTGCCTCGACCTCATTTCATGGATCATTGATCAAGGTTAAAGTTGCGTGGTCAAGTCCGTATCTCAGATACTGTAAGCAATAGGTCAACTATATTTGGTGTATGGAATGATTTTAAGGGGTACATGTCCGACTGACACATTACATCTGACATTGACCTCAATTTCATGGTTCATTGAACAATGTTTAGTTTTTGTGGTTTGGTCTATTTCTCAGATATTATAAGCTATAGGTCAACTATATTTGGTGTATGGAATGATTGTAAGGGGTAAATGTACGACTGACATATTTCATCTGACCTTGACCTCAATTTCATGGTTCATTGAACAATGTTTACAATAGGTCAACTTTATTTGGTGTATGGAATCATTGTAAGGGCTACATGTCCGACTGACATATTTCATCTCACCTTGACCTCAATTTCATGATTCATTGAATAATGTTTAGTTTTTGTGGTTTGGTCTATTTCTCGGATACCATAAGCAATAGGGCCACTATATTTGGTTTATGGAATGATTGTCAGGTGTACATGTCTGTCTGCCAGGTTTCATCTCACCTCAACCTCATTTTCATGGTTCATTGGACGATTTTTAGTTTTTGTGGATTGGTCTATATCGCAGATATTACAAGCAATACCGGTAGGTCAATTATATTTAGTGTATGGATTGTTGTGAGGTGTACATGTCTGTCTGGAAGGGTTCATATGACCTTGGCCTCATTTTCATGGTCCATTGGTCAATTATAAATTTTGTGATTTTGTCAGTTTATCAGATACTATTAGCAATAAGTCAACTATATTTGGTGTATGGAATGATTGTAAAGTGTACATGTCTGTCTGGCAGGGTTCATATGACCTTAACCTCATTTTCATGTTCATTGGTCAATGTTAAGTTTATTTGATACTTGTAGTAAAACCTTCATATTACAGACTTTTCAACATAAATTCAATGATAAGTAAAACAGGCGAGACATTTCAGCGTGTGCACTCTTGTTTAAATTATGTCAAAGGTTAACATCAGCAAAATCTCACACAAGTTCCAGGGGCGGATTCAGGCGGGGGCATGGCGGGCGTGCGCCCCCTAAAATTTGCAAAGTTTGGTTGTCCTCAGCTTAATACAGAATATTTCGATAATTTTACTTCAAAAAAAATTTCGCCTCGCTCCCCTCGATGAAAATTTAAGTTTGCGCCCCCTAACTTAAATCCTGGATCTGCCCCTGAGTTCGAAAAAATAAGAGCTGATTGATTATTACTGTTAGGGTTAACCCCATGGAAAGAAATTAATATGGAAAAGCAACCTTATAAGCACTGTTGGGACTACATTTCTCATTAGTTCCATGAAATTTGTCAAACGTTTACATCATCAAAAGTTTGAAAATACGTGCTGCTTAAATGCTTTTTGGAGAGTAATGCCCGTTGGAAATCTAAATAATATTGGAAATCAATATTGTGGGCATTATTGCTTATATATTTTTCACCTGAGTCTTATGAATCATATATGAAAGGTTTGCATGGCCAATATCTTGCAGAAAAACTTTTTTCGAGGGAGTCATATGCCATTTGCAGTGGGCAAGTTTGGTCTTCTGCATTTTAGAGGATAGATTGCAAATTCAAAAATATTATTATAAAACAAACTGAAGTTGGTCAAACAACTGCACTATGACAAAAATTTAATGC